GCGGTGGGGGCTGGGGTCCTGCCGTTGGTGGGGGAGCAGGCACGGTGGCAGGATACCGAGGCCTGAGGTGCTGGTGAGCCTCCGTCCGAGGCTGCCACGTGAGTCCTTCTCTGGCGCTGTTCCGGAGCTCGCCGGAGGGGCCCTGCGCACCGAGGTGCTCGGCGCTGGGTTTTGGCTCTGCTGGAGCCAAAGCTCCCATTAGCATCTGCGTCAGGCAAAAGTCCCCTCCTTCCTGCGTGAGGGTCGGAAGATTTGCAGATCCTGCACTTCTCCCACTGGACACGGGCCCGGGGGTCACCCGCAGGCACAGGTTTCACACACGAACTGCAGGTCCCAGAGGGAACGCGGGCGGGAAGGGGAAACCCCCTCGCGCCCGCTACAGACGAGCACGGGACTCACTGCAAAGCAATGCCAGGGAAACGGGGAACGCTCGTGAGGCCGGAGCGCCGCCCTGGGGGTAAGAAGGAACGGCGGGCGGGGGATGGAGTGTCGGCAGGGGTCAGACAGAGCTCCATACCAACACCCCGCGCCTGAGGGCTCCACCGCCTACCCGACAGAGAGCTGCTAGGGAAAAGCTCCCCCCTCAGCCCTTCCAACCCCTGAGCACGCGGCACGCACCCGCCAGGAACTGAAGGAGGAGCCTTTCTTTAGACAATCCCTTGAGGAGAAGCTGATTAAAATGGCTCCCTTATAGCCAGGCTTTGCTCCTGGTGATCCCAATCCCCCTGATTTCAGTCAGCCCCCAGCCCAGACAGCCTGCCGGCGGGCCAGCTTACCTGCACAAACACCGGGAACACGAGCACTTTGGGGGCCAGGGTCACGTAGGTGCCGTAGCTGGAGTGCGGGACATGAGGCCTCACAACGGTGCAGTTCTGGTAGTTCCCATAGCTCTTCATACTCTGCACTGTCTTCATCAGCCTGGATTTCCGCCCGGAGCCGGCATGGGACTTGCCTTTCCCTGCACTTCCTGGGAGGGGGAAACCCAAACGAGAGAGAGAGAGAGGATGGAATGAGCGAGGGTCCAGCCCGCTGGGCGCTGCGTTTCCCGACGTCGCCGGTAACGCAGAGGGAGCAACGCGGCCTGGACACCGCAGGGAACCCGTCCCAGTGGGGTCAGACCTCTCAGCATTACTGGGCATGGAGCTGCGCCGGCAGCCGCCCGAGCCTGGCTTCGTATTCGATCCCAGGTTAACCGAAACAGGGGCCACGTCCTCACCTGGCATCATAGGCACCGACCCCACGGCTGCGCCGGGGCTGGAGCACCCACCGGGAAAAATCAGTGAGTGCACCAGCATCACGCTCCCCCCTCAGCCCACTCAACCTTACCCCCCCGCCCGCTGGCCTGCTCCTCCCCTCCCAATGCTCCTGGGGTGCAGCAAACAG